CGACGTAAGTGAACGACATTCCGCTGGAAGAAAATCGAAACCTTATGAGGAAAAGCCTCAGGAAAAGCACGATTACCCGGTCTGTTTCATCCTCGGGGCTAATAGATTAACATTGACGGCAGGCACAGCGAATGGGCGCGTCCAAGGAAACCGGTGGAAAATTGGTAATTTTTCCTATCCCCATCATCTGGGATATAAGTAATTGGCTGAGCGATAGCGAAGCCTATTACTCCAGGGGTGATCAAAAGGTTTCGCGTCTGTCTGTCTGTCTGTGCGCACGATAACTCGAGAACGAATTGAGCTAGCGACCTGGGATTTTCAGGATCGTTTTGTGTCGTAAAAAGACAGATCAAGTTCGAAGAAGAGCATTCTAGCTCAAAAATTGGATTTAAAAAAAAATCAAAAACCACAGGTGGCCAAAATGATGTTTTTGAAAAATATTTTTTAAATGTTTTCTCAGGGGTAACTCATCAAAGTAGAGCCCTATGGGCGAAAATTTCGTCCGTTTGGCTCTATCGTTAACCGTTTAGGCGCGACATGGAGTTTTTGACGAAAATAAGCGAAAAAATGGACAACCCTGCATGCTTAGTCGAAGTGACGGGATGTTGACGGGCCGGAGGCCGGAGGCCCGTATCTTTGTGTTTATATTTGCGATACCCGACTCGGCTGTCAGCGCCGCAGGCCTAGGTAGATGTATGCCAGGCGCGTCGCAGCGCAACAGTGTTTCGTGAGATATCGCGAAGCCTGTTACGCGAGACGTGGTCTGGCGTACATCTACCTAGTAGTTAAATAGAAGGAATATTCATTCGAGAAAATTTATTCGGAAACAGGCAGCTACTTTTCGGGACGTTCAACCGCAAGATTTATAGTTAAATAGAAGGGAAAATTCATTGAAGGACGGGCAGCCACCAACTTCCTACATTCTGTTGATACCACTGTTAACCCACGCCTGCCCCCTCTCGACTGTCCAATGTTGTTGGCAACCGCGCCTGTCCGCCCGAGTGCCTCACCGGTTCGAAGCCTCGCAGGAGACGGCACTTGGTCCTCTTTCTGGGCAGGACCACGCCGAGCAGAAGGCATTTTTGGAGAAGCGTGGAAACTGTGATCTAAGCAATGGTAGAGAAAGAAAGCCTGATATTTTGAATCAGGCGGCGTCTTTGATCCATGAATCCATGAGCAATGTTTTAAAAACCCCAGCCGGCCCGATCAATGTCAGGACTAGCCGTAAACGTAAGTTATTCTGTCGTGTTCAAAGTCCGTCTGAAGGTTAGCAGCGACGTATATTTATTTAATTTTCCGGAAAACCAGACTCGAGCGCCAATAAATTGAAGGTGTTCCGGATTATACTCAAAAAGCCCTTTCCAATGGTATAGAAGAGTGACTCATCGGCATCGGCTCTGAGTCACTGTTCTATACTATTACCGGATACTCTATATGCTGTACGAAAAACTTTACGAAGATTTTTGTGGACTGGTCGACCAGTCCAATACATGATGATGTATAGGGCGTACAGGAAAAACGTACCAACAAACACTCGTTACAGTTCAGAAAGAGAAAGGCTCTAACTTTATCCGAGTCGAAGGCAAAAAGTTAGTCCGACTCCTTGCCTGAGGTAACAAATAATCGCTTCACATCGCTGTCTTCTGTTACCAACGGATCTAGGACAACTCGCCCCAGTCTAACTTGCCCCGGTATAAAGTCGCCCCATGACCATTTCATGGGTTTAGAGAAAAACACATCTAAAGTTAACGTCAATAGGCAATTTCAGGTTTGACTCTTCACAAGAAAAAATCCCACGGTCACAATTATTGGAATTTCCTTACAAACGAAACAGCAATAGACTTAGAGTCAGAGAATTTTCGGTAAACAATAAAACAGAAAAACATTTTTTTTTTGTCCAGACCCATCTTGAGAGATGGATCTGCCCAGTGATAGAGATGGACCCCCCTTTTTTTCTTAGAATGTAAACAACGGGGCGCGGTAGTTCCTCTTATTATACCACAGTAGGGGTCTTCCTAAAACATTTGTTCCGTGCTAAGATCGTAAAGTGACAAGTTGGGCTGCAAATCGAGAAAAGTGGCCATCACTGGTACAGTGTCCCTCACTGGGCATCTTACCCTATCTACTTAATTTAAGGAAATCTCGAATTTTTTAATGGGTTCGGAGTTTTCCTTAATAAAAGCTTTCCGCCCAAGGGGAAAATGAGAAGAAAACGGGGAACAACAAACCGGAAATCACTTGGCTTTAACATGGTGACTTACGAGCCCTGCATTCCTCGCATTCTTCTGCATTTCAGCTGGGGGAATGGTTTGTTATCAGATATTCTCGAATTGTCCCCTCTTCCCTAAGAAAAACAGACATTATTTTTTACTGTGTATCGTTCAGCCAACAAAAGTGGTCGTTGTACTGGCAGCTCTCATTCAGCGAACGTCCGTGACTCGTTTTCTTTTCGCAGGCGCCAGTTTGGATTGGTTCATGTCGACTTCGAGGGTGGCACACTCGATAGGACCCTCAAGAAATCCCACCATTTCTTCAAGCGTATGATGACGGACCGGTCTGTTCCACTGGTACGGGCGTCCTCATCGAATGATAGTTCCTCCGCTACCATTGTGCCCTCCCTGTGTATCGTACTCTTCTCGGCTGTGGCACACCTGCTTCGCGACTACTAAGGTCGACATAAACGGACGGAGACAAAATCTGCAACGCTTAAAAACAAGCTGTCACGTGTACCAAATACATTTCGTCAAATGAAACCTATGCTTCGTTCTCTGTTTCTTTACTAGCTTGATATAATGTAAGAATCGGCGGATCCCTTAAAAACATTTTTGGTATATTTTTTGGGATTCATACGCTGCGCTGATTTTACATCGCAGGAAACCAATTTTCCGTCAATCTTGTTAGTCTCTGTACACATGAAAATTCCGTCTTACTTTTAGTCATTTTCAGTCATTTTTAGGCATTTATAATCATTTTTAGTCATTTTCAATCAGTTTTAGTCATTTTCAATCATCTTTAGTCATTTTCAGTCATTTAATCAATTTTTGGTCATTCCGTCACATTTCAGTTATTTTTATTCGTTTTTAGTCACATTCAGTCATGTTCTCAGTCATTTTCAGTCATTTTTAGTCAATTTCAGTCATTTCCAGTCTCTACAGTTCTCACCTCTTCCCCACTCGGTTGGGACGCATCTTATTTCTCTAGTTTTGTTCCTCGCGCCATCTTATCGGGACCCTTTCAACAACCTCTTCACAAAATCTTCCTGATACAATGATGTTACTAACAGCTACAAATAGATTGAGTAACAACACATGTACTCTTACATACGGCTTTTCTGAGCCAAAATATTCTTGTATGCGACATATTCCAGCTGCTTGCTGCTTGCATCTGTTTAGGACACTGTGGCGCGGAGCCTGCTCATCAGGATAATGACTGTCTGCTGGATCATGAGGTTGGCTGTGGTAAAATCCATCAAAAGGATTGAAGACTGCCCGACTACGGGCAACCTCTCTCAAATTGCACACATTTGAAGTACAATGTGGGCCATTCCATTTAAGATTTACAGGATCTGAACCGACCATCTCCGAATTTGTTAAAAATAAATTAGGAGATAGCCTGCAGAAAATGAAAATTTTTGGTACTTTTCCCTGCGCTGTAGGTCAAACGGTTCCCGACATATGGCCATTTGAAGTTTGAAATCCCTAACTTTTGGTGTTTTAGCTCAAATATCTAAAATGAAGGTTTTATCGGCCTCTGATGCACCTAGGAAGCCCACGATAGATGGTTGTGATGTGTTTTTTTTTTTAACGAAGAATCCAAATCCGGTGTCGGATTTCGAATATTTTGACATTTGCTCTCGCCAATGCAGAAAAACGTTTTGAAAATTCGTCATTTTCGACGGTGTAACAAAGGGTGTTCGCAGTCAAAACTTCAAGTTTTCAGTGGTTGAGTGGACACTCAACAACTATACTTTCAATATTCCGGACCCGAAAATATTGGGTATGGCCCTAACTTTGACGCTACAGCCCAACGAAAACCACGAAAACGTCGATTTCGATACAACCAAGGTGTTCTAACGG